TCTATAAGTATCTATTTGCCTTTAATTATCTTCTGTATTAAGACGTCCCTTCACATTTATATTCAAATTTTAAATGAAAGCAGTAACAATACATACAGATAAACAGTGTAAAAATACTGATATTTATACTGTTAAAATCTCTGCTTGTATTAGCAATGTGCAGTATCTGTAAGATTAGAAAAAAATATATACTTCCATGTCTCTATATCTATATAAAAATAAGCAGTAGGATTCAGTAGAGTGGAGTTCCTTAAGGCTCTGTGCTGGGGCCTATTCTGTTTTTGATGTACATTCTTCCTTTAGGCCAGATAACACAGCAGTTTCTTGATGTTTCTTATCATCTTTTGCTGGTGATATTCTGCTATACTGCTCATTTAAGCCTTCTGAAGGTCACAAACTCTCCAAGGTCTCCAAATTTAGGTTTTATTCTTGGTCAAGCTTTTTCCTTGGAGTGACACTTAAAATGGATAGTAAGAACCTGTTTTTGTGATTTGAGAAACATCTCAAAACTTAGATTAATTGAGTCAACAAGTGAACCTGAGATGATAATTCATGCTTTTCTTTCTACAAGACTGGACTACTGTAATCGTCTGTTTACTTGTCTAAACAAGAAAGGGCCAAGAATCAAAACCTTCTAGTGGTCCCCCACACCCGTTTCAGAACTCGAGAGGAGCCTTCCAAGCTGTTGCGCCCAGATTGCAGAATGCACTTCCTCTATTTCTACAGAGTATGGACTCTGTAGAGTCTGATCCTAGCAAGTATTTACCTGCCTTAATGGATTTTATATGATTTCCGGGGGTTTTTTGTTTTTGCATTGAGGTTATGCAGTGCCATAATTTCTGAATTCTTTAATTTGATGGTCAGGCCATAAATCATTCCCTTTCATTATTATTATTATTATTATTGTTATTATTATTATTATTATATTTGTTTTTCTAAAATCAGGAATATCAGAAATTGAAAGTATAAGGGCAATGTCTGTCATTCTGCTGGGCGGAAATAATGTGAAATCCCAGAGATGATCAAAAATGTGGTCAAAATGTGAAGCTCTCTAAGAGAGACCACAAGATGGCAGTAACCAGTGTTTGTTATTTGTAAGAGGGAAACAGCTTACTGACCTATAAAGCTTGGACCTCAGAGACTGACATGGAGGAGCTTAATTTAGTTCAAAACACCAGGGCAATACATGAGAATCGCATCTGGGAAATCTTTATCTAAACCTTGATTTAAAACAACACGTTCTCCCTCCCGAGGCAGTCACACACTGCACCATGATTCATTTTTTTCCTAAGTTTTGAAAAGTTCTCCTAACACGGGTTAGTGTTTGATGTGCAGCAGTGGACAGATGCAAAACAATCCCAAACAGAGTGCCTTAATTGATTCCAGATGTTAGACGCCAGTTGTAGCCTACGCATTCCTCATGCCCCAGACTGAGAGAGAGAGAGCGCGCGCGCAAAAAAGTGTGACAAAAAAGCGCGAGAGGAATGTGGGGTAAACAGAAACTAGACCGAAGTTTGCTATTTAGATATTTTCCATCATTTTAAAACTTTTGTCCCCAGACTGAGCTTACCTTTCATTGTGGTTTACAGGACTCTACCGTTGTGAAGCTGCTGTTTGAAGTCACATCCACAGCATCGCAGTGGCATTTGCCCGAAACCTCCCGTTATGCGCCAAGGCACCTTGAATCCGTGGGCTTTCCCGGTTTCCTTAGCGTGTTGGTAGGTTATTAAAAAGAATAATAATAACAATAATAAGATTTCAAAGCTCCATCCGCAGCTCTTTAAGCTAGACCTCCTTCAGCGCAGGTAACTTTAGTGCTGCATAAAAAGGACGCACTTTGCTAAAAATAAGAAATGGAAGAAGAAGTTCTAAAAAAGCAGGGAGGAAAAATGTAAAATAGGTTTGTGGTTGTTGGAAGGGATGCTGAGTTTGAGGGTGTATCCGAGTCATGAGCGCTCCAGTCACACCCGCAAGAGTAACAGGAGAAACTCCAAAGTGAAGGAATCCATACGTGAGAGGAAGTGGCTGCTTGGAGAAACCACGTGTTCCTCACATCTGTGCGCACCGTCTGCAGAGGGTGTTTGCACATACACACACAGCGCACAGCTGCCATTGTGCGGTTCATTTTGATTTCCCCAGTCTTAATATGGGAGAATGATTCTGAATTAAAGTGATTCCAAATGTTGTGTTCCCCGTTATTGGTTCAGTTTTTATGTCCGAAAACACAAAACCGAAGAAGAACTCAGAGTGGACTGAAATGTTTGTCTCATGGCAAACTAACTAACTAAATACATAAATAAATAAAATAAAAGGTAGAAGACTTCTATTTTATTTTCAGATTTTCCATATTATAGTTTTATTTTTACGTCATCATTCTTATTATTATTACTTTTTTAAGAGGAACTCCAGTTGTTTAAATATGCGCAGTTAAAAATGTGAAGAAATTGGAGAAGATTTTTTTTCCTCTTTTGGTCGCTTGGGGAGCTAATTATCACGAGGTGTTAGCGCGTCCAGAATACATGAGGAGCTCTGGTATTCATTTGAGGATCTGAGTACAATAGTGCTCCACACTTCTTTTCATTCTCTTTTGGTCTGTATAAATAACTGCTCAATAAAATGGAAAAAGATGCAAATATTGAATAAAGGGGTTATCAGATGAATAAATACAGTCACACACATTTGATTAGGTGCATGCTGCTAATGCAGGTGTCATGCCAAAAAGTCACTTCCAATGTTTGTATCTGTTTTCATGTCTAATATCCCTGCTCCTCTTTGTAAACAGGCTGTAATCAAGAGAATTTATCAATGGCTTTTACCTGTTTTGCAAGGATCCTTATGAGTTCCTAGTGTGAATTGTAGCCTCCGTTTTCTGTTCTTAGCTGACAGGAGTGGCACAGTTTTTAACAGTTTTTAACAGTTCCATTCATTATAATTCAGTTCTCTGCTTATGTCTTCAACCCAGGACTTCAGACTTTGATCAGTGCCACAATATTAAACATGACACACACACCCAGCACTATTTGTGTAATTCATTATTATCAGGATGTCCAAAAAACTCCCAGAAAAGCCTTCAGTTAATCCAAAATGCTGCA